TGTGAAAGGCTTTACGATCGTATTTTCATTATAATATGAAAAAGTACCATTATCTAAACCTGTGGTATCAAAACATTCCTGTAGTATTTTGTTGTGGTAACAATGCGTCCAGTGGCGGATCCAGGGAGGGGCCCGGGAGGCCCGGCCCCCTCCCCTGGGGAAAAATCAGGTAAAAACACGTTAATTTTACCTTAATTTGGTGACGGGCCCCCTTCCCTGGGCCTCAAGGGGCGGGTCCGAATTTTCAAATTTCCGGGGGCAAAACAAAAATGAATGCTCGCTTATTCACCGGCTAGCTATTTCGCCGCTAAGTATTTTCTCACGGATTGGGCCCCCTATTTGGCCCCCTCCCCAGCCGCCGGCTGATCCACCCCTGAATGCGTACCTCATGAAATGCCACAGAACCACATGGATATACCACAGCCAGCCGTTCACTTTACCACACGAGTCGATGGTACAGTATACCACAAGAGTACCTATTTTGTGTGGTATACATTACATACCACAGGTAATACCACATAACATATTTATAATGGGAATGATGCATGGGGATGCCTTTTAGGTCTTACCTCTCAACCTCAAAGATTCAACATGTTTAAGAGTCAGCGTTGGCCTATCTACTCGCCGATCGACGTGTATTCCCTCACTGAAGAGCTCACACTAAAAGCACATCCTTTTCCCCAATAGGATCAGGGTAAATATGGTCTTGTTGCAAAACATCTGCAATACGGGGAAAGGCTTGAATGATTCAAGTGAAGCAGTCTACTAATGTTTTGTAAAACAAATATACCTTTTTACTAACATATTGAAATCTATGGATGTTTTTTTTTACTGGGAACCTAGTGCCGAGGTATCCATTAACATGTTATTAATGAGTGAACTACATTACTTGGAATCCAGTCCTCATAAATTATTTGTTGTTATGTCGGGCAAAACTCACATCTTCCTCCAAACATTTAAATGCAAACTTTATTGAAGGAGCTCGCGCTTTTTAATGTTTTTTTTTAAAACAGATATAATGGTGCCATCAAATGTTGTGAATCATCACCATCATCAAGGTTTCATGTTTTCAAGAACAATCTTTGTTTAAAAAGTATGCATAACATCTGAATATGTTAATAAACCGATCTAATGACGTTTCTGCGTTAACTAAATATATTTAATTAGGGACTTTTAGATTTGCTTGGACTGATACGTGTGACGTCCATTCAAGGCAGTGCATTAAAAGGACGTCGATCGTAGCAATCCACGTTGTCGTTGTGCAAATCTAAAAGTCCCCATTTATACATGTGTCTCAATAGTCAGAATTCAAAGTGGATACATTAGTTGTTGCTAGGTAGGACAAACGTTATGGCTTGCATTACGAAAGTGGCATTTATAATGCTGCTATGTCTGCATGGCTCTTGAGTTGTCAAGAGTAGCGTTTGTTCAAGAAGTATGCATAAAATTAGTCATTCACAGACGTGATAAATTTGCGCAATTAACATCTCTAGCAACGTTGGAATCCAATGGCGGCAATACACATACATTATAGCTATTGTTGTTTAAGTCTGGGACAACTCTGACAAGCGATTCTAGCGGGTCTTAAAACATGCCCAGCTACAAGCTTAGGGAACTAGTAAGTTGATCTATAGTGTCCACGATAGGGGCATTTACACTGTCTTCCAAACACGCCAAAAAATGCCAAACCGGAGCCTGGCCGCGATGTTACCAAGGGCAACTACGCTTTACCGGCAGAAACGCCAAGCCCCAAACATTCCAAAACGAAGTGTGATCTGTGGTCTTTGGGCAGATGAGGGGATATATTTAGAATGCACGTTGTTTACATGATTCTTTGCTTTTTTAAACAAGCCTCCAGCAGCTTTGGTGTTTTGAGATAAAAAAAAAAAACACTTACTAGTTCTCTCTCTCTCTCTCTCTCTCTCTCTCTCTCTTTCTTTCTCTCTTCTTCCCATCTCTCTCTCTCTCTCTTTCTTTCTCTCTCCTCTCTCTCCCCCTCTTCTCTCCATCTCTCTCTTTTTTTTTCTCTTTTCTCTCTCTTACTTATCTCTCCATGTCTCTCTCTCTTC